CAGCTTTGCTTTTCTTTTTCAACATTCCTCTGGCTATTCGGGGTCTTTTCTGGTTCCATACAAATTTTAGGATTATTTGTTCCAGCTCTATTAAAAAAAAAAAAAACTGATGGTATTTTGATAGGGATTGCATTGAATGTATAGATTCCTCTAGGAAGCACAGACATTTTAACAATATTTGTTCTTCCAAACCATGGAATGTTTTTCCATTTCTTTGTGTCTTCCTCAATTTCTTTCGTGAGTGTTCTACAGGTTTCTGAGTCAAGATCTTTTGCCTCTTTGGTTAGGTTTATTCCTAGGTATCTCATGGTTTTTGGTGCAATTGTAAATGGGATCGATTCCTTAATTTCTCTTTCTTGTGGCTTATTGTTAGTATATAGAAATGCAATTGATTTCTGTGCACTGATGTTATATCCTACCACTCTGATACATTCCTGCATGAGTTCTAGCACTTTTGGGGTGGAGTCTTTTCGGTTTTCCATATAGAGTCTCATGTCATCTAAGAATGAGAGTTTGACTCCTTTGCTGATTAGGATACATTTCATTTCTTTTTGTTGTCTGATTGCTGAAGCTAGGACTTCTAGTACTGCGTTAAACAACAGCGCTGAGAGTGGACGTTCCTGTTGTGTTCCTGATCACAGGGAAAAAGCTGTTTTTCCCCACCGACAATGTTATTTGCATGGACTTTTCATATATGGTTTTTATGATATTGAGGTATGTCCCACCATCCCTCTGTGGAGAGTTTTAATCAAGAAAGGATGCTGTACTTTGTCAAATGCTTTTTCTACATCTATTGAGAGAATCACATGGTTCTTGTCCTTCCTTTTATTAATGTGGTGTATCACATTGATTGATTTGTGGATGCTGAACCACACTTGCAGCCCAGGAATAAATCCCACTTGGTCATGGCGAATAATCCTTTTTGTGTACTGCTGGATCCTATCGGCTAGTCTCTTGGTGAGAACTTTGGCATCCATGTTCATCAGGGATATTAGTCTGTAATTCTCCTTTCTGGTGGGGTCTTTGTCTAGTTTTGGGATCAAGGTAATGCTAGCCTCACAGAAAGAGTTTGGAAGTTTTCCTTCCATTTCTATTTATTGTAACAACTTCAGAAAAATAGGTATTAATTCTTTTTTAAATGGTTGGTAGGATTCCCTGGGAAGCCATCCAGCCCTGGACTCTTGTTTGTTGGGAGATTTTTGATTACTGCTTCTATTCTTGCCGGTATGGGTCTATTCAGGTTTTCTATTTCTTCCTGTTTCAGTTTTGGTAGTTTGTATGTTTCTAGGAATGCATCCATTTCTTCCAGATTGCCTAATTTGTTGGCATAAAGTTGGCTCATAATATATTCTTATTTAAGTTTGTATTTCTTCAGTGTTGGTTGTGATCTCTCCTTTTTCATTCATAATTTTATTTATTTGGGGCCTTTCTCTTTTCTTTTGGTAAGTCTGGCCAGGGCTTTATTGATCTTATTAATTCTTTCAAAGAACCAGCTCCAAGTTTCATTGATCTGTTCTACTGTTCTTCTGGCTTCTATTTCATTGATTTCTGCTCTAATCTTTATTCTCTTTTCCTGCTGGGTTTTGGCTTGATTTGCTGTTCTTTCTCCAGCTCCTTTAGGTTTAAGGTTAGGCTGTATATTTGAGACCTTTCTTGTTTCTTGAGAAAGGCTTGTACTGCTATACACTTAGGACTGCCTTTGCTACATGCCAAAGGTTTTGAACAGTTGTGTTTTCATTTTCATTTATTTCCTTGAATTTTTTAAATTCTTCTTTAATTTTCTGGTTGACCCATCCATTCTTTAGTAAGATGCTCTTTAACCTCCATTTATTTGTGTTCCTTCCAAATTTCCCCTTGTGATTGAGTTCAAGCTTCAAAGCACTGTGGCCTGAAAATATGCAGGGAATGATCCCTATCTTTTGGTACCGGTTGAGACCTGATTTGTGACCCAGTATGTGATCTATTCTGGAGAATATTCTATGCACACTGGAGAAGAATGTAAATATTCTGTTGCTTTAGGATGGAATGCTCTAAATACATCTGTGAAGTCCATCTGGTCCAGTGTGTCATTCAGAGCCCTTATTTCCTTGTTGATCTTCTGCTTAATGATCTGTCCATTGCAGTGAGTGGGGTGGTAAAGTCCCCTACTATTACTGTATTATTATCAATGTGTTTCTTTAATTTTGTTATTAATTGGTTTATACAGTTGGCTGCTCCCATGTTAGGGGCATAAATATTTACAATTGTTAGATCTTCTTGCTGGACAGGCCCTTTAATTATGATATAGTATCCTTCCTCATCTCTTATTACAGTCTTTGGTTTAAAATCCAATTTGTCTGATATAAGAATTGCTATCCCAGCTTTCTTTTGATGTCCATCAGCATGATAAATGGTTTTCCACCCCGTCACTTTCAGTCTGGAGGTGTCTTTGGGTCTAAAATGAGTCTCTTGTAGACAGCATATGGATGGGTCTTGCTTTTTTATCCAATCTGATACCCCATGTCTTTGACTGGGGCATTTAACCCATTTATATTCAGAGTAACTATTGAAAAATATGAATTTAGTGCCATTGTATTACCTGTAAATCACTGTTTCTGTATACTGTCTCTGTTCCTTTCTGGTCTATGTTGCTTTGGGGCTCTGTCTTCGCTTAAAGGATCCCCTTTAATATTTCTTGCAGGGCTGGTTTAGTGATCACAAATTCTTTTAGTTTCTGTTTGTCCTGGAAGCTCTTTATCTCCTCTTCTATTCTGAATAACAACCTTGTGAGATAAAGTATTCTTGGCTGCAAATTTTTCTCATTTAGCACCTTGAATATATCTTGTTGGACCTTTCTGGACTGTCAGGTCTCTGTGGATAGGTTTGCTGCCAACCTTATGTTTCTACTCTTGTAGGTTGAAGATCTCTTGTCCTAAGCTGCTTTCAGGATTTTCTCTGTCTCTGGAATTTGCAAGCTTTGCTATTAGATGTCGAGGTGTTAACCTATTTTTGATTGGGGGGGGGGCGTTCTCTGTGCCTCCTGGACTTAAATGCCTGTTTCCTTCTCCAGATTAGGGAATTTTCTCAGCTATAATTTGCTCTAATATACCTTCTGCCCCCCCTTTTCTCTCTCTCTTTCGCCTCCTTCTTCTGGGATCCCATTTATTCTAATATTGTTTCACTTTATGGTATCACTTATCTCTGGAATTCTCCTCTAGTGATTCAAGAGTTGTTTACCTCTCTTTTTCTCAGCTTCTTTATTCTCCATCATTTTGTCTTCTATTTCACTAATTCTCTGTTCTGCCTCATTTATCCTAGCAGTTAGAGTGTCCATTTTTTATTACATCTCATTAATAGCCTTTTTGATTTCAGCTTGATTATAGTTCTTTTATGTCTCCAGAAAGGGATTCTCTAGTGTCTTCTATGCTTTTTTCAAGTCAGATAGTATCTTTACAATCCTTATTCTGAACTCTAGTTCCAACATCTTACTTATATCCATAATGTTTAGGTCCCTGGCAGTCAGTACTGCCTCTTGGTCTCTTTTTTGCATTGGGTTCTTCCGTCCTGTCATTCTTGCAAAAAGTGGTCCCTTTTCTATTTGTAGAACTGCAGCAATTCTTTTCTTAGATCTCCAGTTGAGTTTGCAGGTGTTCAGAATGATTCGACAGCTATCTAGCTGAATTCCAGGGACCAGATGAAACTAGGGTCCCCTTCTCCTCTGCCATCTTCCTCCTCCATCCAAAAATCTTCATTAGAAAAAAGGAGGAAGGGGAGACTGATATAGTGGAAAACGCTTAAGTGCACACTAAAGAAGTCTGAGAAATTCCAAGAGAAATTGTAGCACATTTAAAAACATTAAAGTATTTTTAAAGAGTTTTCCATACACTGCTGTATATACTGAAAAAAATTCTAGAGTAGATTAATGCATTAATTTTTTTGTTTAAGTTTTTTTGTTTTGTTTTGTTTTGCTGACACTCACCTATGGAACCTTTAGCAGCAATGGCAACAGCCTCTAACAGAACCTGGATGATACCAGCTCGAACCCGTGGAGAATCTTTTTTACGAGCATCAAGGTGTCCTAGGATCTCCTGAATTACATGGTGAGAATACTGAGCCTAAAAGAAGCAAAACAGTACACAAAGATGTATGAACAGTTATATACAAACTGGGTGGATTCTTAAGAAGGGAAAACCATGTGTCACTTAAACATCTCACTACAGGAGACTGGTACTCCCGTTACAGAACAATATGTAGCCATTAAAGACCATGCTTTTTAAGAATAAATAGGGATACCAGAAAATATTTATAATACCCTGGATGAAAAAAGCAAGTTGCAAAAACTATGATTAAATTTAATCTGCTTTTTTAAAACAATATACAGGACTAGAATTATATACACCTAAATATTGACAGTGCCAGGATTCATGAGAAGTTTTTATTCTCGTCACACTTCTCTGTAATTTCAAAGAACATTTATATACTCTTATAATTTGATAATAGGACAAATGTTTAAAAATAAACAGATTATGATATTTGCAGCACTTCTCTCTTACCCAAACTAGATATTATTTCTCATCATGGACACCTAACAATTCTAAACAGTTAAATCTCCCATCTCATCAAAAGCCACTCTCAAAATGAAAATGTTATCAGTGTATACCTGATTAAATTTAAATCAAGGAGATATCAGAAGATTTGCAATTTACAAAGGCAATTTTATCATAGATAATCTGATCAATCACACTGAATGATATTAGGACCTAAATCTAAAATAGGATAGCTAGACAATGTTTAACTACAATGAGTATTTTCTTACTTCTTTTTTTTCTTAACAGAGTAGCAAAGTTTTGGTTTTTTAAACTAATAACTACACCCAGGAGTCATGAGTGATCTACCACCAGGTTATAAAAATCCAAAAACAAACAAAACAGACTACGGCCCTGAATCTCCATGTCTGTGTTTGCCCTTAGGCCCCACTACTCTGTTTTCAGACTGGTTTACCTTTCTCTCCTTTGGAATGGGTAGTCTTATATTAAAAAGCAGTGTCCAGCACATACTGGCTACTCTGCTCAAAAGCAAAAAGAATTCCCCTCCACCTCTAACAGCATAACCAAATTCACTGTCAGGTATTTCTGGTATTTCTGTCAAAACACATGTACTTTTTTTAACAACCCAAGGTAAACATTTTCACCTTTACTTTCTGCAGTGTTAAAACAGAGGAATTCCAGATAGACAGACACACACACAAAACTTGAAACCGAACTTCTTGCCCAGGAAACTGTATGCTTCTGATGTGTGAACCTCATGCAAATAGAATAGGGTCTTACAAACAGGATGGCAATTTGACTTATTGTCCAAATTAGGACACTGCAGAGAGTGAAAGTATTAATAATTACATAAAGCAAGGCTATCCTAAGCAAAGCACAGCACCTGTTCACAACAGCTCAAGAATTCCATCATGGATGAAAAGTGCATGGAGTGACAGGAACAAAACTGCAATGATGTTAATTATACTTTATACTGAGTTTCTGACACAGGTTTACTAAGCTATCATGTACCTATGGTAAAACTCACCCTCACACTGAAGTTTAAAGCAATAGTAATGGATGCGTAGCTTTAAGAAGCAACATAATAGGGTAGTTAAGTATGTTGGTAAGCCCTAGAGTCAGATTTGCCCAAATTCAAATTCGGGCTCCATCATTTAATAGTGTAATAGTATACAGCTAAAGAGATGGCTACTTAACCTTTTTGTACCTCAGTTTTCCTCATCTACAATATTTATAAAATAAAAAATTATCTTATCTTGTAGGATTGTTATGGCACTTAAATGAGTTCATTTGTGTAAAGAATCTAAAATTGTGTCTACCACAGGAAACATGCTCAATCTAGCCATTATTACTTACTCTTTAATTGGTGACTCCTCGGATAATATGTTACTACAAAATTAAACATAACAAAATGACAACAAAAGACATTTGATTCATAAGCAGGTGCCAGGCACTGTTCTACGCACTGGATGTGTATTATCACATTTTATCCACACCAACAGTTCCCGGAAGTAGCCTAACTCAATCACACTGTGCACTTCGCAGTGCAAATGAGGCAGGTTTTTAAGTAACTTGCCCAAAGTCATAGAATAATTCTAAGGGAGGGTCTAGCTGTGAATCCTAGACCAACGTCAGAGCCCAGATCTTAAATACACCTATTACCTTCAACAAATCAATTTAGCACAAAAGGTAAGCTTTAAATATTTTCCCTTTACCACAAATGCCCTATTATATTTGAAACTATCTGAAACTATGTCTATGTAACCCTTACGGATATAAATACTGGTAAGGCTAGCTGATGTTTTGCAGAGAGGAAAAAATGTTACCTCAGAATGATTCCCATAAACAATTTTATGGTAAATAGCAATTAAAACAAGTTTATCAGAAGTTTTAATTGTATCAGGATAGTCTTATCAAACAGAAATTCCCATTCTACTGGGTACTACCATTAAACTTTTGATCAATGGACTTCATAAAACATATGCTGTACTTAAAGCTATTTGCAAAGAAATGCGGTGGACCAGCAGTTTCTTAACTTTCAATCAACAAGTATTTATTGATTCCTTAAGTTTCTTTGACTTTATTTACTTTATTAATTTACTTTGTGCAAAAAAGCAATTTCATTTAGTAACAAAATCTGAATGAGGAAGGCAATGAAGAAAGACAAGGCTACAAAAGACCAGGAGAACAGCCTTAATTATGCCCACAGATTGCCAGATCAACCTCTTACCTACTAAATTAAAATTAAATTAAAAGAACTTAAAAGTTCTCATAAGAAGGAAAAAAACCTTGTAACTATGTGAGAAGATGGATCTTGAGTAAACTACTACAGTAATCATTTTACAATATATCCAGTCATTGTATTTTTTATATTATCCTACCACATCCAAACCAACTTTATAATAACTACTACTTATCTAAAACCCACGTTATGGTACACAAATAACTTTAACTTACTGGTTGATTTACCCCCAAAATTTGTGGAACAGAATGACCGAAATTTAAATCCTGACTTCACTTTCTACCTGTGTGCCCTTCAGTGAGGTACCTGACCTCTCTAAAGATCAGTTTTCTGATCTGTAAAAGAACAGTAACAATATCTACTATATAAAATGAGGCGACTTAAAAGCAAGAAAGCAAATAGGTTATGTGCACAGTGCAAGTACATTCATACAGCACTTGATAAAATGGTACTTCTATTTTAAAATATAAATGAACCATTCAATGCGTGCATTAAAGTTTTCTTTTCAGAAACGAGAAAACTAGAACTCAGCGGGACTGAATAATTTGCCCAAGTTCACACAACCAGTAAACAGCACATCTAGGATGTGAATCCTAGTATGACCTACAGTAAAAGCCAGGTTTCTTTCTTACTCTACCTTATCTCCTTTGAATTGATGATGACTTTTTAGGGCATAAAAAAATGTAGACTTTGTTTAAAAAAAAAGGGGGGGGGACTTAAAATCCCACTTGAATTAAGAGCTACCTGGGTCTGTTCAGATTTCGAGGAGAACCAAGGTGTGTGTGGTCCTCTGCAGTACAGTTTCTCATCCTAAGATTCTATTATAGGTGAGAGGAGTTAATACATGTACTGTTTCATAGTAAAAACTCAATAAATGCTAGTTATTATCAGCTATATGCTGCTGTAATAAATTTCAATTCCAATACCAGTTTATCAGTGAAATATAAATATAATATAAATACACAATAAAAATATTCAAATAAATGAACAATAAATAGCATCATCATGAAGTCTTTTACTTCTTTTTATTAAATAACTTTTCATCTTGGCAAATAAGAAAATAAGTGGTAAATAAAAATGAAACAAAAAACAAAATTAAGAACATGCTGTGTACCTTACAGAGTTCTCTATATCTCTGATGACATGTTTATCAATACAGAACCAAACTTAGTTATATAAATATGATAAATACTTAACCAATCCTTACCTGAATGGAATACATTATAATTTTAAAGCAGTGAACTGCAAATTCATTGGGATCCCATAGTTTGTGATGGTCTAAATGCCTGTAATTAACAAGAAAATCACTTTAAGAACTCCTTTTTTTATTCCACTTTCTTCCTCTAGAACCCTTAACAATATGTAAAATTGTATCCTAGAATGTAGCACAGAGAAGCAAAGGAATGAACAATGTGTTAGAGAGCTTAAGAGCCATGAAGTAAAAAGGGAGAAGACCTAAAACACCTTTAGCAAGGGTTTCAGAAGAACAAAGATCAAATGAGAGTGAGCGCCATTTGAGGAGCCAATGACTGAGAATTTTTCTAATTAAAAACAACCAACCAAAGACCAAAACCCTAATCCTCAGGTTTAGAAATCCCATCAAGATAAAGAGATGGTTAACAGGAGTCCAAGAGGAACAACAGCTCACCTCTAAAGGAAACAGAACTAGATTCACAGGTAACTCACCAAGAGCAACAACAGAAGGCAGAAAAGAACAGAATAATACCCTCAGGGTACTGCTCTATTAATTCAGCTTAGTATTATATACCGAGCAAAACTTTCAATGTGGATAAAATAAAGACGTGCGATAAAGCAATTTCTGGAGCACTTATTTCAGGAAGAAAGAAATAAAAAAATGATTCCAGAATAAAGAACAGAAAGGCAAAAAGGAAAGCTGAGCAACGGAACTCAACAACATACACGTTAAAATACACACAAACACTGACTGAATAACATAATAATACCTAATTTGTGAAACTGAAAAACATACTAGCCGAAAGTAAACATTAAGACAAAATAATTCAACCTTGTATTCCTAAAGAAGAAAAAGAAAACATTAAACTTTACACCAAAAAAAAGGAACGTTAAACTTGAAATTTTATATAAAATGAATGTTACATTTCCTAAGAACTACACACAGAAGAATTATGCAAAAAAAGTTTGTGATTTTAAAAACTGACAGCAAACTAGAAATAAGAGAGAATTTTCTTAAACCAAGTTTTCTATTTAAAAAATAAAAAAAAACCTCAACAAACACCATGCTCAGTGGTAAAATGGTATGGCAATCTTGAAAATTGGGGTCAAACCCCTGAACTCAAATGCCACTTAGTAACCATCACTTTGGACAAATGATTTCACCTCTTGAATTTCAGTGTTCCTCTGTGTAAACTGGGGATGACACATTCCTTACAGGGCTGCTGGAATGACTAAACAAGAACTCATGTGAAAAACACCTCGCATAGTATATGGCACAGCACGGGTAATGAATGACAGCTTAACCTCAATCAGGTGTAGTATTTGTGGCCCTTTTCTACGTAATATGAATCATTTAAAATTATCACTTAAAACCGATGACTTAGCTCTGGCAGAATTTAAATTGTTTTGGTATCATAATTTCATTTTCTCCATTTATTTTGTCCTTATTTTAGTTCAGTTTTCAGGAAAGAATTGGCAAGTTTGGTTGAAAAATTCTTTTGGTTATAGCCTTTCAAGCCATTAGTCTATGTCCTGGCAGGTGTTTCTATATATTTAAATCTATAACTAAACGCACACTGTTGCTTTAGGCTGTCTAGGACACAGAAGCAACACATCACTCTTGCCACTGGAGGGGAAAAAGCAAAGCAATGTTAAGGGTAATTCTGCTTGTTACCTTTGTAAGTTACCTTTGTAAGAAGAGCTCCAACCCACTGGCATGAGTAGCAGCCAGACTGCAATGAAACCAGGCAACAACTAGATACTATTTTTTCTAGAAGTTTAGTAGTAAGGGGAAAGGGAGAGGAAAAGAATTTCCAAATATAGGACCAGGGATTCTCAAATCATGTTTCTCAGACAACATACAACAAAATCACCTTGGGATTTGGTTAAAAACAACAACAACCAGATTTCAGGGCTCTCTACCGTGCCCCAGTCCCAAGAACCGTGCGGCCAAAGATCTTACACATCCAGAGATTTGTAACTACAATTAACTTCTGAAAACCACTACCCTGGACTTATATACACAATTTACTACTCCTACTATCTTTGCAAAACAGGTGGGGAGTTTCACTTTGAGGGGTCACTGATGCACAACAAGGAAGAAAAAGTAGAGCGACAAAGTCAACTGGGTGAGATCTTTGAAAGCAAAAAAAAATAAAATAAAATAACTTAATCACTTCTAAAAACAGAACTGGTGCAAAATATATACAGTTCAAACAAAAATTATTTTAATTCTATGGTATGGATGCTAGTGGGGGATCTATTTAAGCACAGTCAGACTTAGGGGTCAGATGAAGAATAAAATTTTCACTCCTTAAGCGTCCGCCTTCAGCTCAGGTCATAATCCCAGGATCCTGAGATAGAGTCCCACTTTGGGCTCTTTGCTCAGCGGAGAGCCTGCTTCTCCCTCTGCCTGCCACTCCCCTTGCTTGTGCTCACTCTCTCTCTCTCAATCTCTCCCTTTCTCTGGCAAATAAATAAAAATAAAATCTTAAAAAAATTTTTTTTCACCTTACTATTCCTTTCAGTAGAAAAACAATTTCACTCAGACTTTGAGAAAAAAGAAAATGCCTTATTTTTATAAAATATGCAAAATCATGGAGACACTGCATAAGGACAAGCAAAATTTTCAATAATTTATAAAACATGTGACTTCAAAAAAACTTTCCAGTTTCTTACTTTAAGCTACTTCTAGACAACCAAAGGTCAAACATAACAGTTCACTCTGTTGACTGTGGTAGAAACTTTAAGAAACATGAAGAGCTTTTATCTTTTATCACAGCTGTTAACATTCTACATCCAAATGTCTAATTTTGTCTCAAATGTCAAATTTTAATTTCAACAGGATTTTGTAAGTGTTGAGGAGTAGCTTAGGTATAAAAATTTCCTTATGAAATCTTTACAGGTCCAGAATCAATCAATGCAAAGAACTTCAAAGTTTAGAACTATGGGCCATAGCCTTTCATTTGTAAAACAGGAGTGACAGTACCTTCCCCGTACAGGGTAACTGTACTGTGCAGACTGAAGGAGATAAAGCTAGCAAAATCACCAAGCACAGTGTCTGACAATGTACAACATCAACTTTAATCTCAATCTTTATCTCTTTTTCCCTGCTACTCTGGCACCCCCAATTTTTGCCCCAGTATTCAACGAACACTGATGTTACGTCTGCTCTAAAAAGTCAGACTAAATTTTCTAGGTTCAAAACATTCAAAAAGGAATTGTGATAACTGAGTGACCATACCTTACTAAGATACATCTCTTAACTAAATGTATCGTACTTTAAACCTGATCTATTAAATTTCTCAAAAATTAAAATCTTGACCTGAACATATTCTGGTTAAAAAAAATCAGAACCATAATTTGTAAAACATGAAATAGGCAATCCTAATCCTAATAATCTAAAAAGAAATACCTTCAACTACATAAGAGTTAAAAATCTCTGTGTATAAAAATTGTCATAGGGACACCTGGGTGGCTCAGTCAGTTGAGCATCTAACTCTTGATCTCAACTCAGGTCTCGATGCCAGGGTTATGAGTTCAGGCCCTACGTAGGCTCCACGATGGGCACGGAGCCTACTTAAGAAAAAAAAAAGAAAAGAGAAGAAAAGAAAGTAGAAAGAAAAAGCAAAACTATTTTACATAGGAAATGTATTATTAAAATCACATTTGCCTTCATGCTAATAATTTTTCTTGCAATGCTAAATTAACTTTTTATGGTATATAAAAAAGTATGCAGTAAGAATAGTCTTTTCAATGACATATTAAGTAATTTTTTTAAGTAAAAATAAAAATGAAAACAGTGTAGCATACTTTGCAAAATTAGTATCTCACAGAAGTCTTCCTGTAGTAAGAAGAATTCGTCTCCTAACAAAAGCATTTTATTTCTAGTTAATGAAAAAAGTAGCTCTTAAGTAGGAAAAATTGCCTTGGGAAATTACTTGCAAAAAATGCTTTAGTTCGACACTAAGGTAGGTTTTTTATTCCAATCATTATTTCATCTAGTAAAGAAAATAAATGATTTAGTAGAAATTTTGAATATCATATTTTTAATAAACAGTGAACACAACAGGAAACATTTTTCAGTTATTTAAGAATAGTACATAAATAATGTTTTCCTAAAAAAAAAACAAAACTTGCAGGTTTAAACTAAAGTAAAACCTCCTAAAGTAAGTCGTTTAGCACTAAAAGAAGCTATAAAATCCCCTTAAATTAAATTGTACCACTACTCTTCTACAAAGTTTCAAATCCACTCTGCTGAAGAAGCAGAAAATTGAACTTTATCTCTTCAAGCATGGTAGCAGTTACTTCTGGTTCTTGCACCTTTTTGTCGAGAATTTTATTATATAATATATAACCTCCTAACATATTGGCCGTGGCTCAAACCCCTCCTCAGACCTCATCTGATTAACTTTCTCAAAGGGCAGTTCTGACCATTTCATAGCTTTGAGCTAAGATCATCAATTCCTTACAGATTTAAATATAAAACTGTAAGATCTCTATGGTGTGGCTTGAACTACACCTTTCTCTCATCTTACACCAGCCCTTTAATTCTGACACTCCAGCCAATGGTGTCAACTAATCTCTGCTTCTCAAAGTCCACACTTCTCTGCCTCTGCTCACGCATCTCGACCAGCTAAAATCTACTTATCCACCTATCAAAAAAGATCACCCCAATATCCCAAATTCGACTTCAATTCTTTGTTTTGAACTGCTATAGCTCTTTTGGCCTTTTCTCATAACCTATATATCGTATAATAATTATCGTGCATGTCAATTATCCATCGAAAGTTTGCTGAGGACTAGGACAGTTTTATTCATGTATATATTCTCCAAAATATCTTACATAGAGAGGGCATTTAATATTTAATTAGCTCATTAAATAGCTAACATATAATTAAATGTTTAATTAACAACTAACACATGATCAAGATTTAAGTCCATTAAGTTCTACATAGTAAAAAACATAGCCCACTTCAGGTTACCCAACTCAAGTAGAGTTAATTTAGTAGCTTCTTTCTTCCAGGATTGCTCTCTAGATTTTTAAGGCCTTATAGATTACCTCCCAGTTAATAAGAATATTAAGATAAAAACAGGAATTCTGAGATATTAAATCAGCAGGTCTGGACACTGAACAATACATCTGCCTTTAGTTATATCTTACATAATTTTGTTTATTTCCTTACTAACACTTCAATAAGCCCACAGTCATTAAACAGTAGATCTCAATTTTTGGGGGGAGGCGGAATGGGGGGGAATCATGGATCCCTTTGGAAACCTAATGATTCTCTGATTTTTAATATAATTTTGTGGCTTATAGACTCATATTAACTAAAGCTCAACTATGAACCCAAATATTTGCCTTAAATAAAGAATTCTGGGATATAGACTACTTTATATGCACTATAATGACATTATTACAGTAGGGAAGGGAAAAGGATGAGGCAAATGATTAACAAAAACTAGTAAAAATGGCCAGAAATTACACAGAATTTTTTTTTTTTAAAGATTTTATTTATTTATTTGACAGAGAGA